CATTGTAGATGAACCATCACGGGCAACATACTTCAAATCTGTAAAAGCTAATGGTGTTGGTTGATTACCTCCATTTGGAGCTGGTAGATTAAATATTCGATTATTACCCATATTGAGATTACCTTTCATTGGGTAGGAACCATCTCTGTCAAGAAATGTGTTGTCTACGTAATCTTTTGTAGGAGGTTCTTTTCCATCCACTGGTGTGCTAAGATTTGTAATTCGGTATGTATTCTTCATATCAATGTTTGAATCAACTTTTAGATGTGTTGTTGATGATCGGCTGGAATTATCATCAACATACTTCTTTGTAGCGGAATCATTATTATCAGTGGGTGCTCCTACATTTGTGAGTCTTTTTTTATTAATATCATAATTTCCATTTGCGGTTAGACTAAATCCAACTCCTGGTGCGCCCTGTATTCCTTTAGCAAAAGGATGACCAAACGATTGTTCGTTAAATATTCCCATTTATTATAAGGTTATATTACTGGTGAAGTTTTTAGCAATACGTTTTCTGGGTTTATCAACGTATAGAAATGTAAAGGGTTCTCTAGTTGCTGCTTTATACGCCTCTTTGTCAACTCCTAATTCGGATGATATCATATTGGATTCGTTCGATGATGGGAATTCATAAAGGCAGTAGTGAGAACAATTTAGCCGTATATCCTTTGGAGTTTTGTAAAATGATTGACTGAGGTAAATCACAGAACAATTTTTATGTCGTCCTTGAATAAAATAATCAATAAGTCGCCTCTGGTTTTTATCACAGACGTAATCATCAAATATTACAAGTTTTTGATTGTCTTCGTAATCCATTTCTGTAACCGGGGTTATTTCGTCGTTACTCACATGAAGTATTTCATATCCAATTTTACTACTCAACTCCCTCATTTTTTGAATTAACTTTTGATACTTATCCTGTTCTAGATTACGTGCGTAAAGATAAATCTCATCGTAATGCAACAGTGGTTTGATTAACATATGATATAACAAATTAGTCTTACCACTTCCACTGTTTCCACAGATTAACATTCGAAACGTATCCGCCGGCATAAAAGGAAATAGCTGTTTATATTTTTTATCAATGTCATCGGTACTATCATAGTTTGGTATTTCCATTTTTATCTATTGATTAAATAAAATGGATATAGAAGAAGCTAAAAAATTTGCGAGAAATAAAATCGAAGCCGACGCTTTGGTACGGCAGGTTAGAGATGTTATAAAAACAACAAAATGGCAAAAACAAGATATGCGGGAAGGTTTTAAAGAGACATTTAAACCACTTATTAAATCTCAAGATAGCATTAAAAAAAGTATCGACGAACAACAAAACGTAACTATAGCACAACTCAAAGCTAATCAACTTGCTCTTACACAAGGACTTAATCAAAACAGGATGGCTATAACTGAGGGATTTGATAAACTTGACGAAGTAAAAAAATGGGATTTGGCTCAATTACCTGGTGTTGATGCGATTGAAGAGCCTAAAGAAGACGAAGAAGTTTTACCCTCTACATCAGAGAAAGGACCAAAAATAGCAAAATTTACACCTGAAGACCTCGATAGAAATTTAATGAATAAAGAAGCACAAGATATACTCAAAGTTAATGATTACCACAAACTCCCTTCTGAGTATTTTGAAGAGGATGTTTCTGCTATTGATAAAGTAATCGAAGATGTTAACGAAGATTTAGAAGATACTAGTAAGGCAATAAAAAATACTGCAATTATTACACGTGATTCAAACGGTTATCTATTAGCTAAACCACAAAATAAAAAGCCACATAAAAACACATTAGATTTAATAAATAAATACAACGTATTAAGCATATATGCAACAAATTTAAGTAATCTTAGGTATTATAAAGAAAAATCTGGCTCTGGAATTATTCTCTTTAACAACCCACATCAACTTCTAGACAGACTTGAATTACTTGGTGGATCAATTCTAGCTGGGAATAATGGTGTGATAAATGAGTTTTCTCAAATCGCACATCTTCTAAACCAAATGAAAGTAATCTCAAAAAAACAACTAAATGACTTACTAAAAATAGGTGAACCTACGGTTCCCCTATAACCCCTCCCTCAAATATATAATCATTAAATTAAAAAATGGAAGAACGAGCTATTCACATTTCTTCGATAAACAGAGAAAAAAGAGGAACAAACAGACCTGGTGATTTTACTATCAAATTTAATCCTTCTTTGAAACTTGACACTGAAAAGAAACATCAACTTGCTCTTGATCGGTTGTCCATGACTTATTCTTGGTACAACATTAGAAGTGATTATGGAAACAATAAAATTAAATACACTCATGATGGAACCAACTGGCAAACAATTACTTTTACAGATGGAATGTATTCCTACTCAGATATCAATGATTACATTCATCAATATATGTCTCAAAAGTCTCATCACTCAACAGATTCAAGTGGAAAGAAAACTTATTCAATCAATCTAACTTTCATACTATCCACCTATAGAGTGTTAGTATCACTTGAAGGCGATTATCAACTTGATTTGAGAGGAACAGAATTTGGAGACCTAATTGGTTTTGAAAAGAAACTTATTAATAAAACACAGTATGGAACAAAACTACCAAATATCACAAATTCGATTGATGTGTTAAATATAAACACAAGCACAATAACTGATCGCATTGTAAATGGAATAAATGCAAATACCATAGCTGTGATACCAACCGATAATCTTACAAGGTCTTATCCATTTAGTTTCGAACCTAAAAGACCATTGTATTGTCCTGTATCATCTTATGATATTGATGAAATGAGAATTTATGTGACAGACTCAATTGGAAGACCAGTAAATTTTAATGGTATAGATTGGTTTATGACTTTGATACTTCACTCTATGTAATGGGTGGATTGCATCCCCCCAAAACCCCCCCTGCTGCTACTCAACTAAATATATATTCATTAGATAAAAATGATGCGACAATCAGAGTTTTAAAAAAAACTTGACCCTGAACTGGGTAGATATACAAGACAACACATTTATGGTGAAGGAATGATGGATGTGTTTAAATCAGTTGGTAAAAAAATATTTGGAAAGACAATTAAAAAAGCCGCTAAAAAGGGAATTGAAAAAGCGGTGACAACAGCGGCAACAAAAACCGGTGAACATGTTGGCAAAAAGGCCGGTGATAAAATAGTGCAAATGTTATCAAAAGGTTCCTCCCGAAAACCCCCTGCTAAAAAAGTTACTTTTAATAAAAATGTCAAAACAATATCTCAACAAGAGATAGATCAAATGTTGAATAACCTTCTTAGTGGGGGTTCAACACGTAAGAGAAAATTATATAATTATTAAAATAAAATGAAGTCTTTTAGAAATCCAAAATATTTAGATAGATATGAGGATGTTGTTTATGACCTGGAACAGACTTTAGATGCGGCTCCAGCAAATAACGCTCACCAAACTAAATCAGGTCTTAGATTTGTAGCTGATAATACAGGAGAATCCACTCCTTTTGATTGGTATAACGCACGATTATCAATGGATTTTAAAGTAAATAAGCTGGCAGATGGAGGAAATATAGCGGTTGCTGACCATAATGGAATTGTAAATGGTAGTAACTCCTTTATAGAAAAATTAAGTATCCTAGCAAATGGTCGAGAAGTTTATAGTTGTAATTATGCTAATCATGTTGTAAATATTAAAAATTTACTCGAATATAATCCTTCATATGCCCAGAGTGTTGCTACAAACGAATTTTATTTTCTTGATACATCAACAGCCGCAGAGGAAAGGCCTGCTCAAGCAACTTATAATAAAGGTTTTCATCAAAGGAAATTACTATTAGGTGCATCAGCCACAGTAAACTGTGACATTCCTCTTAATAGATATTCTTTCTTTGAAGCATTGGAAGATAAACTACTTCCTAATACAAAAATCGAACTAAATATCGAAATTGAAAAAGATGCAAATTTAATTTTTCAAGCCGCCGACGATTGTAGAGTTATTATAACAAGACTACAACTTTTTATTCCAAAACTTACGTTTAATTCAGAAGGGCAAAAGTTGTACATGGAAAATTATCTTAAACCTTACAAATGGGAATATTTGAATGAAGTAGTTGAAAGATCAAATAATACACAGCAACAGACAGGTCATTTCAGAATTACAAATGCTATTTCAAAACCACGGCATGTATTTGTTTTTGGAATTGATACAGCAAGAATCGATGAACAAACAGCAAATCCATTTTTATACCATACTTTTAATCTACCAAATAATGCTAATATATCAAGATGTTACCTGGAAGTTGCAAATGGAAACGAATACCAAGATATTTACTTTAAACCTTCTACAGATATGTCAAGAGTTTTTAGAAATGTAATGTCATACGTCTATGCGAATAATGATTATCAAGGTGGAACATTACTTAATAGAACTAATTTCAAAACTTTATTTCCTTTTGTTTATTTTGACCTGACAAAACAAAAAATGGATATCAAAAACGGTGTTACAAAACTAGCATTTCATTACGAATTAACTGCTAATCCAAACGCTGATTATAATATTTACTCATTAGTCTTACATGAAAGAATAGCAGAAATATCACAGCAAGATGGAAAACTATTGCTTCGTGCATAAGGGAACCTACGGTTCCCCTATAACCCCTCCCTTAGATACACCGCATATGATTACACAGAATTTTCCACAAGTTGTTATGATTACACAGAATTTTACACAACATTTTATAATTACACAACATTTTCTACAACTTGTAGAAAATGTTGTGTAAAATGTTGTGTAATCATTTGATTGGTTGAAAAAATCACATGATAATCTCGTGATGTAAAACAATAACCTTCTAGAAGGTTCTAATGACAAAGCAATATTTATAATTAGATTTTTAAAAATAAAATATAATTATATCTCACCTAGAACATTCAAACTAATTAAAAAACAAATAAAAAAAAAGATTAAGTGATGATATTGAAATTTAATATAAACATCAAATAAATAAAATGACTACTTATATAGAATACGGAGTAAAACTTACAGATGGGCAAAAGTCAAAACTGGTTTCTGCGATAATAAATCAATCACCACTAACTCTTCTTTTAAAACATTCTCATCTTCGAGGTTCTGATGAGTTGATGTTAACAAAAAGACAAATTGATAAAATAAAAAAATCTATTGCAAATGGTACCGGATCGGATATAAAAATAAGTAAAACTCAAATTAGAAAATCTGTGAAACATGGAGGAAACTTATTTTCATCACTTGCTTCTCTCGGAGCAAAAGTTCTTCCTTTCGCAATAAAAGGAATATCTAAAGCTGTTCCTGCATTAGCAACCGGTGCTGCAACTGCACTTGGAGAACTTGGAATAAATAAAATATTTGGAAGGGGGGTAGGCACTCCCCCCCCAAACCCCCCTGCTAAAAAATGGAATCACAATTCCCCCAGAGTTTTTGCCAATGCTACCACCTTTTGTAAGAGAATTTACCAAATCACAAATAAATCAAATTAACAAAGCTTATCAAACAGGAGGTCGACTGGTTATCAAACCAACTCGCAAACAGATAGAAGGAGGATTTTTAGGTACTCTTGCTTAGTCTGGTAGTCTGCTTAGTCTGGTATCTAAGATGCTTGGAGGAGGACTTCAGGTTGATAGACGTGGGTCATCTAATACATCAAATGTTTACGTTCCACCCACACATGGAGAAGGTTATCCGTATCGCTCACCACCTTTTATTGGTACATGGGAAAACCCTATAGGAATGGGAGTTAAAAAAAAAAAAAAGCCGGCAGGCCGTCCAAAGGCAAGGGTTTACTATTAGGAAAAAACAGCCCGTTCAACTCAATTCCCATTCTAGGCACCATTTTGTAGTGGGGGAACCTACGGTTCCCCCTACACCCCCCTCCCTTAACCATTCTAAACTCCATTTTGTAATTAAACCTCTATCCAACTTTGACCTCATGGAATGGGTAAAAAGACTTGGTATTAAACATTTCAGAGGAATATGTAGTCGTGATGGTCTACCAAAAAAGATTAGAAAAGAATGTGGAATAATTAATCTGGATGATATAACAGGGCCTGGAACACACTGGGTTTGTTATAGAAATCTAGATGGTGGGAGTGGTGTTATTGAGTACTTCGATCCATTTGGACTGATAATGCCAAACGAAGTATTAGACTATTTTCAAACGGGATCTGTAAAACCTATTGTGTACTCAATGGATGAAATACAAAATCGCAATACTGTTCTCTGTGGATATTGGTGTTTATATTATTTATTTGAGCGACAAAAAGGTAAAGGTATTCTAGATGTGATACATAACCCTCATTTTGATAACGATAACAGCGATTTTATAAAGGCTTATTTCTCTTAAATTATTAAGATTAAATAAAATAGTTTATTTAATCTATAAAGGTTTTTTATTTGGATTTAATTCTTTTAAGATCAAATAAAATACTAGAAATTTTATCACAAACATCACAAAGAGAATTATATTGGCAAACAATTTTACTTAACCTCTTAAATTTTTCTTCTTCTTTCTTAATAAAATGACTATATTTATTTATAATTTCTACCCAAAATTTAGCTTCTTGTCTATTTACTTCTAAATAAAATAAATAATTTTCTTTTTTAACATCATCTAAAAGACTTTTAATTTCATTTCGAATTTCAATCTCGTAATCAACTAGTAACTGGTTATCAAAAGATAAATCAAAATCTTTAACAAACCTGTCTTCCATTTTTATACTTTACTTTTATCTTTAAACTTATTCACTATCCACAGGTGTATCCTTTAGCTGTTTAACCCTATCAACTTTTGTATTTAGATCTTTAACACTATCAACTATATCTATGAAATTAGAGTAAATATCAATAAGACGATAAAGTTTCTTCTTTTTATCACTATTTAGTCGCAACCAAGAATATTCCTCATTTCTTATTTTTTTCCCACATCTGACATTCACCAGCCATTAGCACTCTAGAAAGATCGCCGTTTTTCTTTCTAAGAGACTCCAACTAATTATATATTTTTGTCCTTACTTCTTTCTCGAAATCCTTGATTGTTTTAACATCCATCTTTTTCTCTATCTCAGAAAAGAATTTGGCTTCCATTTATTATATGAATAGATAGTTTCCTTTTACAACTTTGTTGAGAGTATTTGATTTCTCACTTATTTCCATAAGCAACTCAAATACTTTTATAAATTTAGTATCGTTTTCCAATCTAGAATAATCAGCGTATTCATAACTCATGTTTAAGTTATCGTATATCTTTTGAAGTTCACTTTTAAGAAAATTAGATCTAGTAGTCATATTTTTTATCTAAACATTATATTAAATGAAAGAAACTTATTGTATTGTAGATAAAAGAGTAACTCCTTGTACAGAGCCAAGTTGTTACCAACAAGATAAAAGAGGTAGAACTCAATTCTTTTGTAGATGCGCAGTTTGTGGAAATAAAAAAGTTAGATATGTAAAAATGGGGAATACCCCCATGCAAACTGGAAGTGGGAAAAGAAAAACTAAAAAGAAGTCAAAAAACTAATTAGCCCGTCTGAAGGGGCGGGCGTTTTTGATATTCACAAATTGATTGGAAAACTTCCAAAACCAAAAGCAGGATGGACTCCAGGTTCTTATAAATATATGGGTCCCTACAATCCTCTAGACAAACAATTAAGTTATAATCCTGAAACCGGAAAAGTGACAGAGTGGAAAGTTAAACCATATAACAAAGTCGATGAGATTGCAACTTATCACGATATTTGTTACGATATGGGAAGAAACAAAGGTGATTGTGATAAAGAGATGGTACAATCATTGGATGAGATACCATATGGTGAAATGCCAAAGTGGGGTTCAACTGCTAGATTCTTGATTAATACAAAACAAAAACTTGGTCTTGGCAATCAAAAAAACGCGAGTCGGCGTTGAGTAGTGATTGGTCTCAACAATTAGCCGACGAACTTCACAAACCAATCACGAGAAACTTTCAAAAGAGATCAGTAGTCTCAAATGGAATTGATGATATCTGGGCTGCTGATTTAGTTGAAATGCAAAAGTTTAGTAAGTGGAATAAAGGAATTAAATATCTTCTGATGGTTATTGATGTGTTTAGCAAGTATGGATGGATTAGAGGTTTGAAAGATAAAAAAACCGAAACTGTAAGTAAAGCATTCGATGACATATTCAAAAGTAAACGTAAACCTCAAATGTTATGGACTGATAAAGGTTCCGAATTTATAAGCAAACATTTTAAAGATTTTCTTAAAAGAGAGGATATTAAGTTGTATCACACTGAAAACGAGGAGAAATCTAGTGTTGTTGAGAGATGGAATAAAACAATGAAAAACAGAATGTGGAAGATGTTTACAGTTAATAACAACACTGTTTACTGGGATAAGTTAGATAAACTAGTTGATGATTACAATAATGCAAGACATTCTAGTATAAAAATGACTTCTGTTGAAGCAAGTAAAAAGAAAAATGAAAGTAAAGTTTGGTCTAATTTGTATGGCGAATCTATTTACTTGAAACCTGGTAAATCAAAGTTTGCAATTGGTGATCGTGTTAGAATTTCTAAGTATAAGAGGAAGGTATTTGATAAAGGCTACACACCAAACTGGACAGAAGAAATATTCGTTATTGATAAAGTTTTACCTACAAAACCTGTTACGTATAAAATTGTTGATCTGATGGGAGAAGAAATTAAGGGTTCTTTCTACAACCAAGAATTACAAAAAACAAAACAACAAACATTTAGAATAGAAAAGATTATCAGACGAGATAATAAGAAAAAAATGGCATTAGTAAAATGGAGTGGATATCCAGATAAATTTAACTCATGGATAAGTTCTAAGGATTTGGTTGATTTTTAATACGAAATTCGTATTAAAAATAGTTATTTACTCGTTTTCTTCTTTATCAGATAAAATTAAGTCTTCAACTTCACTCTCTTCCTCTTCCTCTTCAATTGCTAGTAAAGACTCTCTAGGTTTGAGTGGTTTGACATAACACTCATGAACTTTTATTTGTAAAGAAGTCACAGTTTTACTTATGAAGATTCCTTCAATTATCAGAGCCAATTTAACATTACAGTACTGATTGATATATTTAAAAGGATTTAAATCTTTACCTCCCTTTCCCTTAAACAAAGATAAAATTTTCTTTGATTTTTCTGAATAAATAAGTTTCGCATAAAAAACCGGTGCAGATGAGGGGTCATTTCTTGTTTTCTTCTTTCCTTTTTTATCGGTATATTCTTCCTGTTTGTAATATAAAGGTGAAGTAAGAGACGAAGCTAAATCTGGACCGTATTCATTCTCTAAATATTGTTGAGACAGAGATGTTAAGTTATTAATAAATTCAAAAAATGCTTTTTCTTTGACATTTGGTTCGCTATCTTTAGCCCAAAGACATACTGGAATACTATAACCTACTAACTTTTTTGTTTCTTGATTTTTCTTTTCACTAACACCAAAACTAAAAAGAAAAGGTGTTTCGATTACAAGTGGTCCTTTCTTTCCATTCGAATATTTGATTTCAATTGGGATACGTTTGTATTTAATTTTACTATCTTGGACTTTAAATTCTTTGGCTTCTTTAAAGATAATACTGTCTTGGGTAAGATTTTCGTAGCTGGACAACTGCATTTTGATTATAAAAATTTAATCTTTAAATATTTTTTTCTAAAAATTCAAATGTGTATCTATCACCATCTTTTTTGGAAATCACTGTTTTGTAATACTTTACTTTTCTACAAATATCAGAAATAATTGAAAAGGAAATATCTAATTCGAGTGAAGCAGAAGTAATACTTTCATATTTTTTTTGTTTGTTATTTTTAATATTAAATGATTTTATTGGTTTATTATTTCCTTTTCTGGCGTTTTCTGAGACAGTTAGTAATTGTAAATTTTCTATTTTATTATTTGTTTTAACAGAATCACAATGTTCAACTACATATCCTTCTGGAATATCATCTTTAATACATTCCCATTCAAACCTATGTATATAGTAATTCTTTGGTTTGGAGAGATTTTTATCACTGATACTAAACTGATAGTATCCCTGATCAGTCAAATTTTTTTTTAAAATTCTTCCAGTTTTTACATTTAAAATTTCACCGTCTTTTGAAGAGGCGTATTTAGAAAAAGTAGGATGAATATAAAACTTCTTTCCATTTCCCAAATTTTTTTGCGATTCATTTTTTAAAAATCTTTTAATTCTTAAATCGATTTACTACCAAAGAAGTTTTGTTGACCAATAGTTAGATGATTCTGGATTATTATGAGTTAATTCTCCTTGTTTATTCTTAATTTTTGTAGCTCTAGCAAGATATTTATATCTTCTATCTTTGTCTTTGTGAGTAAGATAATCCTCATATTTTGAGGAACCAAAATGAACTTTTTTTCCACTTGGAAGTGTAACCATGTATTTGTTATTTTTTCGTGTTGAATAAACAAGTGATTCAGCACCGAGTTTTTTAGCATTTTGTGTTAACTTTTTAAACTCTTTTCCACTTACAAGATACTTATCATTTGGGACATAATCTGGGTCCACATCTTGTCTATAACCATCATCAACTATAAAATTCAAATCCTCTTTTGTAGGAGTAGTTTCTCTTGATCTTGATTCCATTTTATTATTTGCTTATATTATTCTTATTTTAAAAATCCCTTTGATGTAGCATTAAAATTTAATTTTTCACCTAAAACAAATTCCCTTACTTGTTCATAAAACTTTTTTCTATCTTTCTCAAGTTCGATGTTATCAAACTCTTTTGAATATACCACATCATAAAATTCATAGCTGTTATATATTTCAGGTTTCACCAATTTAATCTTTTTAAGAATCTTTTTAGTTTTTTTTATTTCTTCGTCTTTTGATTTATCGTCATTTGTAACATAAGGTTCTCCTCTATCTATTTCATCTAAATACTTAATTTCAAAACGCTCTGTGTCTTCCAATGGAATTTTACTAAAATATAATGCTTGATCAGGTTTACGACAAACAAAATGTTCCTCTTTATTAACACAAATAGCATTACGACCATTAACTTTTTTGATATATACATAATCATCATAAAATAAGTAATCAAATCGTTTATTCATATAACGTAATTCTAAAAAATCCTCATCAATAAATTCAGCGACATCTTCCCAATAACTAAAACAATCACCTTTTTTTAACATTTTCATAAACCAATCAAACTCATCTTTACAATAGCAATGCATTTTTTTAAATTTTATGTTTAGATAAAAAAAATCTCATAACAAAAAAATGTTATGAGATTAAAACATATTTAATCGCTATCACTATCAAAAATTAAATTTATGTCTTTTTCTTTTATTTTATCCTTAAATTTTTCAAAACTTTCAAAAAATAATTTGAAACCTGTTTCATCATTCTCATACTTTTCTTCTTCAAACTTTAAACTATCTGGATTAAAAAATAAATCCATATTTTCTTCTAATTTTCTTTCTAAATACACTATAAAATTAACATCTTCATTTTCAAAACAATAATTACTAATATCTTTAAAATAACCAATTTCTTGAAAAATTAAAAATTTATTAAAATAAATAATAAGCTTTTTAGCTTGCGGGGAATTAAAAACATTTTCTTCGTCTATTTTATTTAAAAATTTTTCACATTTTTTATTGATATCTATTATAAAAATATATTCCTTCTTAATGTTTTTTGCGTAATTTGGAATAACCTTGCTTATCATTGTGTTTTTATTATTATATTAATTTCTTTAAATCATTTTATTTTTCTGATTCAACCTTAGATAACAGCTTTTACCAGAAAATAGTTGATAACAGTGCTTAATCGAGTAATGACGTAATTAATCAGAAAAAAAATGCAATGATAGAAAATAACCAGAAAAAAGTACAAGACGTAAGGCACAAATTAATTGAACAATGACAGAAGATAAACTCGGAAATTAATTAAAAAAAGTACAAAAATTTGTTAGTCTAAATTCCGTCATTGAAATTTAGGGTGGGATGACGGAAATAATTGAATAATGACAGGGAAAAAGTACCAAGTGAGTGAGTATCATGGCATCATTATATAACTACTTGTTTGTTTCATGGTCGGGTTGTAGAGAAGACCAGAATCCATAAAGCATTTTGATGAACAATTCTATTTCAATCAAGTTCAATCCTGGAGTCAAAGGCCCGCATTGTTGTTTGACATTGGACAAAATCACTTTCGACTCGATGAAGTTCAGTCAAAGTACTAGTCAATAACAGCTTGTCTCAAGCTTTTCTTTTGGCGGGATCACGGCTCTTTTGGCGCGTTTTCTAAATTCCCTTTGAATATTTAAGCAATAGACCACACTTTCTATGGGTTTACCGGCGTGATAACCCACGCGGGATGTTGGGAGAACACGAGAAAAGCTTGTAAATCACGAGCCGAAATAACTTTAAGTAGAATGGAGTCTTTTAGGTATGCTTTTAGTACCGTGATCAAGTCATGTCTTCTCTCTAAAGTCATCATAAGCCAATCATGACTCACGATTTAATAGCGCTGAACTTTCTCAAAACTCAGTTCAGTCAAACAAACAACAGCACTTCAAAACGAGTTTTTGCGCTCATTACAGGATAACTTATGAAAGCTGTTTTACAGCAAAAGTCAACAGTTTTCAGGAAGTGGAGATATGAATTGTGGCCACTGTGTTTCGCTCCTGTGATTAAAGTGAAGGGCTATTTCACCACTGACTGATTTTCTCGTACTTGGAATTTATTTTGCACTTGTGGTGGTAAAAATTAACTGAAAATTAAATTAACATTACAAAAAATCTTATTACACATATCAATTTCTGTTGAAGGGACGAGTAAATATTATTCTCACAATTCGTGTTTCATATGCGGCTAGTAAGTTTCAATGTGTAATCGGTGGTGACACTTTTAAAATGTAAGTTGTTTAACGAACTTCTAGCTTTCTGTTTAAAGTAGAAGTACGTGTATTGCAGAACCTCGTGTAGCTCTGGCGAGGCCCATAAGGGGTGGAAGGACGGGAGAGATATGGAGTAAATTATGTAACTGGATAGGGTGCGTCTAATATTGGATGTTGAGATGTACTTAATCTCCTGTAAAATAAATTTGAATCCAGTACTCTGGCTTTAAAACGGATCTTGGGAGAGTTGAATGGGGTTGCTGTTGTTAAGGAAGCAAGTAGCGAATGCTTCATAGGCTCTATCCCGTCTTCATCCCACCCTCCTACATTTGTGATGTTGGTCAAAAGAAAATTAGGGTGATAGTGGATAACTGCTGGCTAATATGCAGTTGCATTTGCTTAATAAAAGCTAACCCCTAATTGTAATAATTATTTGTGAAATGTGTCAGTAATAGTGAGTGGATGGCAATGGTAGGAGGTAACAGGGTTCTATCTAGGATATTTGTGGGGTAGAAGCTTTCCCCCAAAATGGCCAGCTTCCCCCCTCCCCCCCCTCCCGAAAAAAAATTATCATTGCAGTACATTGATTTCGTAACGATATCGGAAAAATCATACAGACGCGACAAGGTCAGTGCACCTGAAATAAGTATTCCCCGCCTAAGGACACTATATGACAAGGAACATGGATTATTCTTATAAATTTGAAAATAAAATACCGCTGTAACTTTAAAAAAAATTGTCTCAAAATGCACCAGATTGCATCTCAGCGCAAATTCATTTCAACCATTTCCGGGGAGCACACAGACTCCCCTAGGAAGCTCGTGGCTTTGGGCACTCGGGACTTTCCCCCCAAACGATAAATCCTAGGTAGAACCCTGGGTAATGCCACAGTGAAAACAACCACTAAAAGCTGGTAATTGGAGAAACAAATTATTGTTAAGTGAACTAAAGCAGTAAAAAGTGTTTGCACTTTTTTTAATACTAAATTACACTTGACCACTATTGTTTGTAACAGTAGGGTGCAAGCATAATCATGCACTGAAATAGAAAATTACATGTAGCAATGTCATTAAGGATGTAGTTCATGAGAATTATTAAAGTGATCATAACTTATGATTATTGAATATGCCGGCCTCCATTATAAAGCACTTAATCCATGTAATGTATAGATTTAGCCAGGGCTAAAAGCGAAGCTCCCGTTGATAAATTATTTATTTCAATAAATCTATTTAAATCAAACAATAAACTTGTAGTCCACAAATCAGTAAACTTTAGGGCACATTCATGTGACATTTGAGGGGAAGGCTACGGGATTTTAGGGAAAAAATATTTGACAGTCCAAGATTCAAACAATTAAATCAGTTTTACATCGAGTTAGTAGCCTTATATGTACACCCAAAAATAGCGATCATCTTCGATCACAGTAGATTAGGCCTGGAAAACAAATTCTTCCCAAACAAAATAACCCCGTCGCCCACCTACACCATCTTTATTTTATAAAGTTAATTCATAGTCTCTCCAACTACTCCGTTGGAACACACGATAGTCCTCGGTGGTAGCCAAAAAATTTACACGTTGCATTCCTATGTCTAAAAGGGAGGCCGAAATCAGGCCGGATTCTTTGTATTCGACAAGTTTACTTTACAAGTAAATCTTGTCCAAAAATCTGGTGGCGTATTAAATATACTTTTTATACATCTTTTTCACAATTTTGCAAGACAAAATTGCACTCATTCACCCAGTCCAGGACTATCGAATCATGCGCTTCCTTTGCACAACAAATTATAGAATTGACCCCATTATAAAACGTTTTCATGAAAAGAATTCCACACTGCAGCGACTGTTCAGTCAAAAAAAATTGCTTCTATGTCATATTAAAGAAAAAGGAGAATTCAAAGCTCAGAAAAAATTTCCGAGCTCCAGAGAATCTAACCCACGACCCTCCGAGTTATGTTGGGTAATAAGTATGGGCTTTTAGTGAAAACGATTAGAAAAATTCCCAAAATCACTTATACGGCCAGCCGGACGTGTTCTCACTTTTGACAAGCACTAAATTTTCAGTGCCAGCTTTTCCGCATGAACCCACTTGCCAATTTGACCAATCAGAGCATAAAAGTTGGACAAAGAGCGTGACCAATGCGTAACCATGGTGAGGAAAGTAAAAAGCGACTGCCTTCCCTGCATGTGAAAGCCGGTTGAATTTTCCACTCCGGGATCAATTTGAAATCAAAATTTAAATAGTGCGGCTCATAAACACAACTTATTTCATATGCATTTTAGAAAATTGAACTTTAGCCTGCGATCATTTTAAAAGTAGTAACTTGTCAGCGAATAATTTCAAAAAAATAACTCGAACTCAGTGGGTCGATACCTGAGCCCGCGATACGGTCATGTGGTACTCGTCAGCGAAGACACTGTTTTGACAGCTATCAATTGATCATAATAACAGGAGGGCATTTTGCATGCGCATGCGTGAATCCGCTGAACGACAATAGCGTAGGCGCATCAAATCTGATGGCGGGAAATCGAAAACTCGCGCCTAAAGTTACAGTCCTTTTAAAAGCCATTTCGTTGGTGCTTTGAATGCCGTACTTTCCTACAAAAAATATTCTCCATGACAAATATCGGACGTTTTCTACGCGCGTTTTCACTTGTAGATTTTTCAGCAGTAGGTTTTCTTGGCCTTTAAAGACAAGACTCAACGCCAAAAGTCATGGTCTGTATAAGTCTGATTTTCACTGGCAAAGCAATGCATTTCTATGGTTTGATTTCCAAACTCGTGGTTTTATTTAGGGAGGAAATTCATCGTAGCAATGTTCAGCTGCTTTAAGACAAAATCCAAAAAAAAATTTACCACGCGAGGTTTATTTATTAGCGCGATGTCTCATGTTAAACTGATCGCGGAGACACGCGTTTATATATGCCACAAAACTTGGAATCTATAGGGTTTTAACAGTTTTTTGAAAGTTTTCGCGGAAAAAATTTATAAAAAATATTCTCCTATAGGAAGTGAACAATGGATTGAGTTTGAAGCAACAATTACAAGTACATAATCACTTGAGCATTTCATAAGCTCAGTTGCAAACAAAACGAATGCACATACTCCGAAAAAACGAACAGTACTTTTATTTTTCTTTAACTCTTAAAGATACAGAGATTTTTCCTACGCTACTATTTTGAAGCGACTCTTGAGTAACAGCTCCTGTCTCCCACAATTGATTTCTTGTTATTAATTTATATTTGATGACAGTAGTAATCTCTTCAAAACAGAGAATGGCCATCACTCCATAAATCTAACTGACGATGTTGTTCAAAGCCTGTTTAGACATAAGACAGGAAGTTTGTTAAAGGGGTGCATATAATGCTGTTTCCTCAAAAAATAAATACTTCTGCTAAAGGACCCAAATGAGCTGGGATGCGACAACAAGCATGACACAAATGGATGGATGAATTTGTCTGTTATTAATCTTTCTGTTGAGAGCTTTTTACTGTATCCAGATGAACCTCTTATGTAAGGTGTACATCATGGAAGAACTATCAAGCAAAAACTGATACGTTAAACAAGAATGTGGTTCAATACAGAGGAGAGGCTGGTCTCAGTCAACATCCTTTGTGAATGAAATGTCTCACAAATTAGCATATCAACAAATGTAGTATCCACAAAATATATCATTTAGGAATAAATGCGATTTTTTTGCAACAGAAGCAAGGATTGACTGAAAAGGTGTATTGATAACGTTTCATTTCGTGCTATTTTGGGTTTGGGGAGTTAGGCTAGATTTTCTTTAAAACGCCAAAATGTTATATTTATTTGCATAATGAAATGTAAACAAACCGTGTACCATCAAAATAAGGTGGAAAAAATCAGAATTCAAACCGATTGCTGTAATTTTTTTCCTTTGTATAACTAAATGAGAAAATATTCTTATTTTCTAAACACAATCTTACTGCCTTCATTATACTGATTTAAATTTATAGTTGAAGTGCGTGTATTTTATTTCTCAACGAAGACGTACCGGAGAAGAAAGCTAAAATTACTGCAGAAGGCGATTTTTCACAGCCTTCATCAAAGCGCCATTCATTCGCGGAAGTATTCTTAGTTTCATTAATCATTAACTTAATCTGGGGAGAAAGGCAAGATTTCGAGATAAACAAGCCAGAGAAAGGGTGAAAAACAGTTTCACGGCAGAATAGACACTTATTTAACCACTGTATTCCTGAAACGATTAAGTTCGATTTTAGAGTTATACTATTGAGAAGAATTAAGTATCTATAGGATAATTGTTTAACGACAAACTATCATACTGACCTTTTCCTCCTGCTCAAAAACTGTGCGCGAAATGTTAGGTAGTAAGAACATTCAGCCGCCATCTTGTCTTCGATGTACTGTTTTACGAAAGGAAAGACTGTCCTCTCAAGGGCGACAGCGAGGCTACAATAAACTCACTTTCATCGTAGAAATACCTCGATACCTTAAAGAACATGTTTGTGGAATGTAGCACCCAATACACGTCATTCAGCTCCAGAAAACGGCCTGCAAATGCTGGTACTGAACGTAAACAATTCACAGAAAATGCCTCTGTGGCACTTCTGTGGCACTTCGACAGCCCATATTGACGCATGCGCATACAAAATGCCCTCCTGTTGATCATAATATGGATTGTCACATAGATTTACAACATCAGGCTGCAGGCTCCAACAGGGGTCTTTTTTTGGATGAGCGTGCGCGACCGCTGAACAAGCGATTTGCAACGAGGCTCGCCACAGGGTCTGTCTTCATCAAAATGGCGCGTCACAAAGCTATCGTCTTGCCGAATGTGCTTGTGTTTTAACAAAATGTGTACCCTGGGTTCCAGAGGATATTTTTTTCTGATCGATACTGATGGTTCGCGGCGAAGCCGCGTCAACGGGACGCGAAGTGCCGAGGAGAAAGAGCTTTTAATATCAACCGTAAGCACGTCTTATTTCATCTTAGGCATTTTGAGAACGGTCCTCTGGAGCCGGGTAAAAAATGTGTAGTTTGCGAAAAAAAAAAAAAAAAAAAAAAAAACTAAATGGTCTCCACAAAAGCGAAGTAGACCGGCTTTAACATACCACGAGCTACGATCAAATTTCATCTTTCCGCTTGACCTGGACAGCAGCGCGCGTATATGTAGTATTTGTAGGATTGCGCTGACCTCATCAAAGTATAAGCAAAGTGCCGAAACGTTTGTTGATGAAAGTAGACACTTACAAATTTTCTTTGTTTTGAAATTGGAAAGGAACACGTATATTAAAAAAATATCATTGCAAATCTCAGCCAGTGGGTTCGAAGTGCGTAAAAGCTAGTTCAGCAGAGAATTAATATATGTTCTACAATTTTCCCGGCACTTTTAATTATAAGCTACAAAACTAAGAGCGCACGAGAGGTGGATTAGTCACCTGATGAGATCTTTGTGGTAGTCACTCTATATGTCTCGAAAAATAAAAAAAAATAAAATAATGATAAAAAAGAATATCAATGAGGCACAGTCAAAACTACATTCAATAGGACCGAAATTAAAGTCGAATCTTAGGACTGATTTTGATGAAACAAACGGTTAGGTTTGCCGAGAAGAACAGTAAACATATGATGCTGACCAAAAGTTAAAATTATTAGTGCACTTAAGTTCTGGCTAAATGTAAACTCCTGTACAAGATGCGTTACAATGTTAGTCTACGCAAAAACAAGAACTGCTACAATTTTCCGATAAACAAACTTTGTATCGCTAAAATACCGTGAAGGAACACCTTCCTATTCCAAATGATAACGGCTTGGTAGTCGCCCGCTGATCGTTATTAATATATGGCTAAATCAGCTATACACAAATTATTGAAAGAAATCCTCTACGGCATCGAGAAAGTAATTGACATCCCATTTATAGACAAACACTAAATAAAGAACATTTTGCTCAATATCTACCTATCAGCAATGCATTCTATGACAAACTTTGTGGTTTTTTAAGGGAAATCAAGACACGAGTCGAGCGCCAAACAACAACAAGCAGCCATATTCGGTCGGTGTACGGTCACGTGATTGCTGAATTTTCGAGGCTGGATAGATTAACTAAGCTATGTGGCTCCGCTAAAAAAAAAGACCCCGTGATCAAATAAAATATCAGCTGTAACCTTAAAATATATACGTGACCTCAATGGGTACGAAAAATGAGCCCGCGATACAGTCAGTTGAATTCTGCCAGCGGATGCTGGGGTTTGACATCTGTCAATCGACCTTCTTTAGAATGGCGAATATCCGAACAAAACGGACTCTCGACTGCGAGTGGGAGTAAGACATTTTATTATATGGCAAAGCTAGTCTTAGGCACATCCCTGTGCTCTGATTGGTTCTTTCTCGGTCAGGATTTTGCAGTACGGACCGTTTTTCCAACCCGTGTTTTTTTGTTTTGGAGCAGGGCCGGCAAATTCCAAATTCGCAACCAAATGAGCGGAAAAAAAACTGTGAATATTGTCATTCTTCACATTTTTCCTGCTGTAACTTGACCATTCTGTATTTGGTTTCTACTAAACTGAATTTAAGTTTCAGTTTTACGGAGAAAATTGTTTCGAATTCCTCAATTAATTCGCACAAGAGTTAAACGGCATTGTCCAGTTTTCCCGCGCGAGTTTTCACGTCTACCTTCGGCGGCATTGTGAGCGGAATCGAATTTAATGCGAAGCTTGGCCGTTGTTAGTCATCGCCAGAAATTTCGAATCGACATGCGCAGTGAGAGGTGACACTTAGAAAGTATCAGCGCAATTTTCATTGCAGAGAAATGACTGAGAAAAGATTGAAAATCGAAAAAAAAAAACTGTCGTAGAGGAATAAGAGGTCACTTACTTTGCATCAATTTCATTAGTATTTTTGTTAAACTAAATGAATCTGCATTTATGCGTACCTTTCAAGTTTTATCCGTTTCGGTTTTGAGGTAAAGAGATTTGCAAATTGACTGTAAAGGATTTGTATGGCTGTCGGCTATAAAACGCCGAAACTGAGCCCAGTTTAGTGTGTTTCAGTTCGCGTCCAAGTTCGTTGGGTACAACCACTTTGCATCGGTTCTGCGAGTTAAAGATGCTTACTTTCATGTTCAGTGACACTTTGCACTTTCCGATTGAAATGTCTTTCGGTTTTTAACTTTGAAAACACCGTAAATTTCAGTATGGACTCCACGGCGAAATTTCATCATATTCGCTTTTCAATATCTCCGCGAAAAATCGTCCAAATTTCATGCAAAACCTCTCACTCGAGAGCTAATTTCTTGCATTTTGAACACATTTTAGAATAATTGACGGTATTTTCGTTCAGCGGTGTCTTTTTTACTGTAAATACGGTCATGTTTGTATATTGTGACATTGAGCCCGTACTCGGCCGGATCTGACAGCGGCTTAGCCCATAAAAGAAACCTTTCATATAATTGGCACGAAAATGTTGGTTCGAAATTTCTGGCGATGTAACTCGTCGTAATCTGCTGCAACAAATTTTGACTGTTTCGCTCCTGTGATTGAAGGGCTACTTTAAGTTGAAGATTTCACCACTAATTAACTTTCGCGTACTTGGAATTTATTTTGCACTTGTAGTAGTAGAAGAAGTCAACTCAAAATTAAATTAATATTACAAAAAAGGTCATTTCTACTGAAGCGACGGGCAATTATTATACTCACAATTTGTGTTCCATATGCGGCCAGTAAGCTAATGATCTATTTTTCCCGCGTCGCGCTATGATAATTAAATATTTCCAAAAAAATAAACAAACGGGTTGAAAAATGCAAATCACACGGTCTTGATATCGATGGAGAAGATTGGGAACAAGGACTAGGACTCGGAGGATACATGGACAAAAAACCTGTAAAAATACGTATATTAATACCAAAGTCTTTGAGTAAAAATAAAAAAAACTCAATGTCAACAAATTTGGTTTCGGCGAGAAGAAATGTCAGTCAGGCATACAGTAATAAATTCACAACTGCTTTGATCCTGATGCCTGACATAAGCTGTAAGTTATTTTTATTCTCCTTCTTAAAAGTTTTACTACATAAAAGGAAATAATATGCACACTTCACCAAATCTCAGAAACCATTATGTGTAACAATCTTAAGTAATCTTATGTTCGGGAAAAAAGCTGTTTGGGGTCACCCCGTGCTTGTAAATTAGAAAGGAAAGAAATCACAAGAAACAGTTGTTGAGAAGCCTCTTCCAACACCTTCTTCAACATACCAGACATACATAATTAAAAGCTCCAGTACCAAGAAGCACAAAGGGCGATTATTTGAACACTTATCAGTATTATTATAAGTCTTACTCATTGTAAGTACACAAGCAAGCAGTCAAATGTGGTAACATTTGCTCCCAACAAACAAAAAATTGGTTTCAAGAAAACAAAAACGAATCGACTTATCGCTGAGTCATCTCATAACGTAGTTTTTCAAACTGAAGTAGCGACACCAAATGACATAAGCTTTTACGCAATTATCTATTGTTATTGTTTCACATATCACACAAAGAAATCAAAAACAACTGAAACGACTGCGGGGGCAACCGATCAAAATAAAGCCCAATAGTTGCTCTTCGAGATGATACAAAAAATAAAATTTATAAACCAAGGATTGGCGATAAACGAACACTTGAACATTCCGCACTCATCGCGACGAGTTAAACGAACAAGCGTCTTCCGAAAGGTTGTTAAAAAACTAAGAGAAAATGTACTCAGCACCATGTTACTCAAAGTGTAACATCGTAGCAATCCATTTGTGACTTTGCAAGGATAAAAACTTTTCAAGGAAAGGAGAAAGACAAACTTATTGTGCCGAACTACTCCTACTGATTTTTCATGTTTCCACGTGACAGCTGCACGCCCCTTCTGTTTGCATTTTACCCACCCTGACTTGCACGCGATTTTGAAGTTGCAGCCAATACCATCGCACAATTTTCGGGACGTAACTTGAACCTTGGGCCAAGGGAAAGGGGTACGAGAAAGTTACAAAAATAAGGTAATTTATGACTTTCATTAACAAAATAACATCGTTCGAATTTCTGACGCGGTCTGACTGACGTCATCCCTCCTAACAAGTGGAGGTTCGAAAATTGCGCGAAAAAGGTTTCATTTACAAAAAATGATTTGGAGGCAAAAATGATGAAACAGGATGTGTGTGTGTGTGTGTGTGTGTGTGTGTGTGTGTGTGTGTGTGTGTGTGTGTGTGTGTATGTGTGTGTGTGTGTGTAAAAAACACAGAAAAGATATGTTTGAAACAAAATCTTCCTCCTTGAATTATAACACCTTTAAATTTTGTATAGCTTTAATTTTACTAGTGCTAAATTTCAGTATTTCAGTTTTGCGCAATTGAATTTTCACGAGTATTGAAGTTCGCGATTAAAAAGATAACTGAAAATAGCCTAATAAAAATTTGACCAAGTTGACCAATTTGTCTCATAATTTGTCTCTCCCGTGCCTAGGGTTTTTTCTAGTGAAATATAGTGAGCAACTCATCTTTACTTCATCTGGCTATAAAACTAACTCAAAAGCACCTGTCAAAATTTACAAATCTATTTCTTCCCTTTAACTTCAGTGGACGTGGGATCTTGAATTTATGGTTTGCAAGAGGCATTATTTAAAAAAAAAGTAAAAAAAGTAAAAAGAAACAAAAAAGCACTTGCCTAGAAGGGGTTCGTTTGTCACCAGTCTCACTGAATGTCTGTTACCTTAAACCAAACTTAAAAAAGTGTTATTAACGAATTAGGAATAAAGCTTTTTAAGGAAGAGGGAATTATATTTACGAAGTTAAGAATTAAGCTTAGGAATCCTTATTAGGAACAAAACCTAGGAATCAATTTTTTTTCTGGCCTGAGAGGCCAGTGGTAGTTGATTTTGTTGTCTTTTTTGTTCTTTTTATCATTTAGATGGTTGGATCGTCTTCTCAGAGAAATCATCTTTCAAACAAAAGCCTTCTTGATGAATGCCTCGAACGATAAGGACAAAGTAGTTCAGAAGATTGCTCAGATTGTTTTGCGACTTGAAGCGATTGAAAGACAACAAAGTGAAATTGGCGAAGAACTTCATAAGGTAATGGAGGCTTGTACACAGAGCGCATTGTTGCAGCTTTTCGAGTTCGTCACGTCTGAAGACTTCAAAGCGCGCTTTACCTCATGGACACTGGAGGAAATTCCAAAGCTAAGGGACAACTGGCAAGACACAAAAGATGACATCATAAAAGCGCTCTCAAACCGACTGCAGACATTTATAAAGCAATGGGAAGAAGACAACAAAGTGTTCGCAAACGCTCGAGAGACCGTTAAACAATACTTTGAGAAACGCTACAATTATGTGGAGGGACAGTTACGTAATCTCCAATCCACTGTCACAGCTGACGACATTCCATTGACGGCAAAGATTACTCGTGAAGAGGTTCCCTTTACTCTCGGTCAAAAAGTGGTCATGGGCGTCACTAGTCCAATCTGGGTTCCACTTGCTGTGGTGGTTGGCGTTCCTGTCGCCGGTGCCATGTATATCAAAAGCATGTTGGCGGAAAGAAATCAAATAAAGGCCTTCGAAAAAGACAAGTGTGCTTTCATGAGAGTGAATTCGGAAGAGTATTTAAAATCTACTTCATCGTTTGGTTTAACGATGTTCGTGGCGCAACAGTTTAAAGAATCTGTCGTCAGCCTCAAGCAGATTGAGGAACGTATTCCAGAACTGATAGAAGCTGATAAATTGCTGTTCGGTCAACTCCTTGTTGAAACATGCTCACAGACGAGAATATTGGAGCGTTATGAGCCAATAAAAGCTGAAGTTTCTCGTCTTATAGGAGACCTTGCATTCTTTGGGATCACAGAAGTTCGAGCCCACATCAGCAGTAAGAATCTTGACTGGGACGAAAACAGGTCACCCTGTCTTGGCCGTGGTGCATTTGGTGCTGTTTACGAGGGGGTGATGACAGTAAATGATGACTCTCGAACCGTGGCGTTGAAGGTGTTCAACGAGGTGCTTGATGCTAACAATGCAAGCGGCTATATGGACGAGGTGGAACTTTTGAGGTGAGCAAAAGTGAGCTTTTCAGTTTATGAATGGTTTTTTAATGCCTAAAGTTTATAGAATAACGAGCGAAGAAGAGACCTCTAAATAATACTTTTGCACTCATGCTGTGGACTTAACTACTTAACATTGTAATATTGTCGAGTAGACTGAACTTGCTATTTGAACCTTGTTATTGTTTAACTCAGCATGTTATGCGGTCATGTCATAAATGTATGCGCACGCGCAAGTCACATGGAAAGTACTGTATGATCAGATCGTCATTTTGAAATATAGCTGTGTTTGGTTATCGAGATTCTGTTCCTTGTCTGTTCGTTTGTCTTCGTTCACCGTTCCCCTAAATTATCAGACTGTTATCTAAAGACCCACACGACATTTTGGTGCCGAGACCAGGATCATCCAACGCAGTATGGCGGAAACTCTCCCGAAACTAACCTCTTCACGTGCGGGTTATCGTGCTCACTTAACGAAGACCTTGAGCAAGGCGAACGATCTTATGAAGAAGGAGGCACCCACCGAAATGGATGTTGTATCGCTTAACAGTATCATTGAACAACTTACACGGAAGAAGACTATTCTCACCGGACTGGACGAGAAAATTGCGGCGCTCCTCGAAGAACCGGAGGATCTCGAGCAAGAGATTTTTGAGACAGAAGAAATCCATGATGAAATTCTAGATACCACCAGCCAGATAAGTAGATTTATTCATGTCACAATATCTCCTAAGAAATCTGCTACCCAGCCTCCGTCCTCCACTCATCAGGAATCCCCACAAATGGTATATAATGAAACCCCACTCGTACCAAGTAACACGTCCGAACCTAGCACTTCAAACAGTCACGAAAATACCCCACCCACTAGTCAAGCAGCCTCTGGGGAAACTGTTAATAATCAACCGAATTCTCAGCCACCCCTGAACACACATCCACCGCCTCAGACCTCTCAGTTGAATGTTAACCACAGTAGCCGCCTTCCCAAACTGAATTTACCTACCTTTTCTGGCAATCCCCTCAACTGGCCCACATTTTGGGATTCATTCGAAGCAGCTGTCCACTCTCACACCACATTGGGGGGAGTACAGAAGTTTAGTTACCTGAAGGCCCAACTAACGGGGGTCGCCTCAAGGGCTATAGCTGGTTTCCCACTAAGCAATGTCAATTATGAGCAAGCCATAAAACTACTTAAGGAACGTTTTGGGCAACCCAGTAAGATCATAGGTGCCCATATGCAAGCTCTCCTGGAAATTGCTAGCCCTGCCAACCAGTTAACAAGCTTGCAACTGTTTTATGATACCATGGAAACTCATGTCAGAGGTCTTGAATCACTTGGAAGATCACACGAAAGCTATGGGGATCTCCTCGTTCCAATTATCCTGGGAAAGTTACCCCATGAGTTGAGAAAGATCTTAGCCCGTGAACACGAGAGCCCTGAATGGAAATTCCAGGAGTTGAGAGAAGCTATTGTAAGGGAAATTCGAATCCTTGAAGCAGGTACCCAACTTAACGACACCCCTTATGGACTCACCCCAACAATCACTGGTTCTTTTCTCGCTCAAATACAAGGAAAACAGCCTCATTTGGGGAAATCTAGTAAACCAGAATCTAAAAAATGTCTGTACTGCAAGGGTCCCCACCCCTCCTACAATTGTCAAGTAGTCACTGACGTTCGGGAGAGATGGACAAAGGTTAAGACTCTCGGACATTGCTTCAACTGTTTGGGGAAACACAAGTCTTCAGTGTGTCAGTCAAAATTCCGCTGCCATAAATGTAAGGGGAAACATCACACAAGTTTATGTTTGGGCCCCACTGATCCTGCCATCAACCCTCCGACCACACCTGACAATACGGCTCCCACTCACAGTCCTCATACTTCTATAGCAGAGCCACCCTTCAGGGTACATACCTCTCTCGCACCAATTACTCAAACGAATATCCCAGTCAACAATGGCCCAATATCACTCTTGAAAACTGCTGTAGCAACTGTTGGCTATAACCATACGCACTGTGAAGCTAACATTCTATTCGACGAAGGTGCACAGCGCTCCTTTATCACGCAGTCCTTGGCTGATCAACTAGGCATACTTTACACAGAGAATGAATCTATTGCCTTGTCTGCCTTTGGTGCACACTCCTCATCCAACAGACGATTACCTATGGCCAACATCACTATCGTCACTAACAATGGGGAACACATACCAGTACGTGTCCTTGTAATTGACCAAATCACCACACCACTTCAGAACCGCTTTCGGCAGCAGGTCCGAACCATACCCTACCTAAGGGGTCTTCAACTTGCCCACCCTGTGACGTCGGACGAGAATTTTGAAATCTCACTTCTACTTGGTGCGGATCACTATTGGGATATAGTGATGGACACGGTCATCCGCGGTCAAGGCCCAACTGCTGTAGAATCAAAGATTGGCTACCTCATCTCTGGACCGCTACAGACTAACTGCGTCAATCGTACTGACACTGCTGTGAACCTGCTACAGACACTGTCTTCCACAACGGCGGCAGAACGTGATCTTGAACATTTCTGGTCTCTGGACTCTATAGGCATCACACCACCTACAGAAGTGGATAACCAGGAGTCCTTCCTGCAACACTACCAGAGATCCTCAATCACAAGAATGTCCGATGGCAGTTACAGCGCCAAATTCCCATGGAAGGAAGATTTTCCCACACTACCTTCCAACTATGGTAGCTGTGCACGCCGCACGCGGGCTATGGTACGCCGCCTTGCTCAGACACCTAGCCTTCTTACCTCGTACGGGGAAATTATCAAAGAACATGAAAGGCGTGGATTTATTGAAAGGGTTGACAATGTAGACAGTATGGATAGAGCGCACTACCTCCCACATCACGCAGTCAAGAAAGAATCTGCTACCACACCTATCAGAGTTGTTTTTGATTGCAGCTCCCGATCCTCAAACAACTCTCCAAGTTTGAACGACTGCCTTATGGTGGGCCCTCCATTTCTAAGCGATATGTGCTCCATCATCATAAGATTCCGATCCTTCACTTACGGCCTGTCCACAGATATTGAGAAGGCCTTTCTTCATGTCGGTCTCGATGGCAATGACCGAGACTTTACCCGATTTTTCTGGTTGTCAGACCCTAAGAATCCGGAAAGCGAATTTCAGGTCTTTCGTTTCAAGACGGTCCTATTTGGTTCCACCAGTTCCCCTTTCATGCTGAACGCTACACTGCATCATCATCTGGAAAACTACAGTACACCTGTGGCCAAAGACATTGGAAACAATATGTATGTAGACAATGTTATCTCCGGGTGTGACCAAGAAACTGACATCATCCGTTACTATCAAGAGTCAAGATCAATCATGAATGAAGCCAATTTCAACCTGCGCTCATGGGCATCCAATAGCCCACGACTTCGTGAAGGGGCAGAACAAGATCAAACGGCCGATCCAAGCACTGTGGTCAACATTCTTGGTTTGCGCTGGCACCCAATCCAAGACACCATCTCTCTTGCACCAAAGGAACTCGCCTCCCCTTCCAGTCAACCAACCTCCAAACGTGATGTACTACAACTTGCCTCAAGGACTTATGATCCACTGGGATTCATATCTCCAGTCACTGTGAAGGCCAAGCTCCTCATTCAAGAACTGTGGCAAAGAAAGCTGGAATGGGACGAGCCACTTCCCACAGAACTGGAAGCCAAGTGGAATGACATGGCCCAAGATATCCAAGAGGCTAGCAAGCTGATCTTACCCAGATGCTTCTTCTCACAAGTGCCGTCTAATGCACAACCAATCTACTTACATGTCTTTGCTGATGCCAGCCCTAAAGCATATGCAGCTGTAGCCTACATTTCTAATGGTGACCAGACCTCACTCGTCATGTCAAGGTCACGTGTTGCTCCACTGAAGAAATTGACACTCCCTCAATTGGAACTAATGGCGGCATCAATCTGTACAAGACTAGCTCATTTCGTAGCAGAAGCCCTCAAATCGAGATTTCCCAATATTACAGTCCATCTGTGGTCAGACAGCGAGATAGTCCTCCATTGGTTACACAGCTCCAAGCCCCTCAAACAGTTTATTGCCAACCGCACCAAAGAGATCATGACACTGTTCCCTGTTACTGTCTGGAATCATTGCCCAACCCAAGAAAACCCTGCTGATCTGCTTACTCGTGGCATCTCTACAACACAGCTTCACACCTCATCTCTTTGGCAACACGGTCCCCAATGGTTACCACTTGTCGAGCAATGGCCATCTTGGAATCCCTCAAAATACTCCATCTACAGCTGTGTGACATCGCCGATGCGCAAGACACTGATGCCACAACCAGGAATGGGACGACTCACACAGATCCGACGGAGAAAGAGCTAGGCATCCATAATCTTATTGATGTTTCAAGATTCAGCACTCTCTCCAGACTTCTCAGCGTAACAGCATACGTTCTACGGTTTGTGAAGAACTTGAAACATCCTGCAACAAAGACACATGGCCCCCTATCTGTACAGGAGAGGCAAGACGCCCAACGCAAGTGGATCCAGAACTCCCAAGCACTAATCTATGCAGCAGAGATTGCTAACCTTCGATCCAACTCCAGTACCCGTTTGACATTAGTGAAACAACTCCGCCTGTTCCTCGATGCTGACGGCTTCCTTCGTTCCGGGGGGAGGATCCATAATGCTCAGCTTGCAGAGTCAGCAAAGTTTCCCTACCTGCTTCCACCCAACCATCCCTTCACAGCACTGGTTGTCTACGAAGTCCATAAAAAGCAACTTCACTCTGGTGTCAACGTGGTAGTGACCATGCTTCGCCAAACATTCTGGATAACTTCAATTCGGCAGTATGTGAGGAAACTTCTTCGTAGATGTGTGACCTGCCGGAAGGTGCAAGGAACGGCCTTCAGAGCTCCAGATCCCGCACCCTTACCTAAGTTAAGAGTCCAGGAAGCAAAACCATTTTCAGTAACTGGAGTTGACTTTACTGGACCCCTCTATGTGCGATCAGAAAAGGGTACCACCAAGAGCTA